GTACATTTTGTTTTTGCTTTCATGCTATTTTTCTGCTGAAGCTGATGACAATTCCATGGTATCGTATAAATATTGTAGGGTATAAACAAGCGCATTTTGCGTTTTATTCGCGCACAAAGTGCAATCAACACTGCACACACTACCCGGCTTCCAGTTCTTCCGCTTGCCCCTACCCTCTGCTCTAGCCAACCGGCAGAGCACTCTTTTTCTCTCTCCTCTCCGTGTCCGTCTCCTCTCATTTCCTCATCTGTCCCTGTTCAGTCTTTGACTCTCTTGTTTTTCATATTTTGTCATATTTTTCTTTATATGCTTTTTATATGCAAAAAGCAAACAGAAACTGCGCTTATTTTGCACCTCTCCCCCCTCTCTCTCTCCTTACCCACACGTGCGCCGGCAGAACCCATTAGAGGCGAGCTTTGAGCATGTTAGAGCTGTCGAGCGGGGAGAAGGGGACGCGTAAGGGCGCAGCAAGTGGCAGGCGGCGCATCGCTTTCAAGCTGCCAAGTGCCAGCTATGGGCATGGCTATAGTTATGACTACGACTATGAATATGGCTGTGGCTCTGGCTCTGGCTCTTGGCTCTTGGCTGTTGACTGTTGGCTGCGACTGCATTTCGCCTCATTTCGATTCATTTGCGCTCTCCGAGCTCACATTCTCACTGGCTATGTTCTAAGCGCTGCCTCGCCGTCTCGCCGCATCTCCTCTTCGCCGCTTCGCTGCCTCGCTCCTGTCGCTTTTGTGCTCTGTAGTTTTGTAAGTGTGTATGTGTGTGTGCGGTGTGTGCTTTCCATGTCTTCTTTAGCTCCTCAATTTCCAGTTCTGTGCCGTTGTCGCTGCTGCCGGTGCTGCCTCTGCCGCTGCCTCTGCTGCTGCCTGTCTCTGTTCTCTGTTGGTTTTCGCACATTTCGCCCATTGTGTATATTTATTTGGCAAGTTGTGCGCACTCAGCCCCCGTCAACGAGTCCGACTCGCTGCTGTGTACCCTGCGCCCGGCCGAGTCCGAGTCCGCAGTCCGAGCAGCTGCCGCTGCTGATGAGTGGAGTGCTCTCTGCCGTTTGCTGTGCGCCTGTTCTGAAACGACTCAAACTGAGAGAGAGATAAAAGCATCTTGTGCTAGATGATGCTTCTGTGTTGATAAGACCCAGGCCCCGCCACAGCTCGGTCTCTGTCTCGTATGTGCGTGTGCGTGTGTTTGTGTGTGTGTATGTGTGTGTGCATATCTGTGACTTTTGCGTGAAAATTGAGCACAATTTCTAGATGCACACAAAAGTATTGCACGAGTACAACTACTATATTAAAGCTCACACACACACGCACACACTTACACTCAAACCGCCGCCGGAGGTTAAGTTCGACTTCAGTTCTCTGCTCTGTTTGATTTGAGTGAGTTATGAAGTTGCAATCGCGTTGCGTGGGCGTCTCAGACTTAGCTGCAGTTGTCAGTTTGTGCTCTTTAAGCGGCGATTTATTGTTGTACTTACTTGTGGCAGAGAGAGACTGCAGCTCTTCCAAAACTGGGCGACACATTGTGTTGCAATCGGTGAAGAGTTTCTATTATTGGGGCGTGGAAAAATGCGTTTACCGTTAGCTTTATGGCCACGGCCATAAAAACCCAAATGCGATATAGACGGCAGCTTTGAAATGCTTTTCATCTATGTCTAGCTGTAAATGCAACTGCCACACACGAGCCCAATAGATGCACGCAGACGGTCAACAGATACAGATACAAATGCGTGGATACAGCTCAAATGTAAATGCATTCTTGTGCACTCATCAGTCGTTCAATCTCATCATGAGCTTCATCATTACGATGTCAATGATGATGATGATATTTTTGTTGTTGTTGTTGCCCTTAATGCAGGTCAATGCTGCCGTTGGTTGCCCAGTTGATACACTCAGCAAAATAGCCATCGATATTAATTGACTTGAGTTTGCCTATTTATATTTATTATATTTTTATTTATTTGTATATTTATATAATTATGATATATGTATAAACTGAGGGGGCTATTACCCCGATTTTCCTAGGTTAGGTTTCTTCCATTAAATAGAAAGATATTTGCGAATAATACAAAGGTCGATCGGATTGGGGCAAATAAGTGAAAGCCGGCCATAGAACTTCCTAGTCGATTTAGCCTAGTTCGATTTAGTTAGATGAAGCAAAAAACTTGTGCATACAAGCGCTTTCCACTTATTTTCCACAGTTGAGGGTGGAATTATGTATCATATCTCGTATCAACTAAGTAAATAGTTTTATAAAAATGTTCTTTAGAAATTCGTGCCAAAAGTATTCGCTTTATTGCACTTTGAACTAGTATCATGGCCATCAAGTTCTTTCAGTGTATTGCAGCTTAGCTGTCCTTTGACATATGCCACTTGATTGGGCAATTTGCATGCACCGAATACCGATTTAGATGCTGTGGCACTTTCACTTGGCCAACAACATGGCAACTGCAACTGCAACTGAAGCTTCATGCAGGCAGCCATATTTGCTCTAGTCATAAATTATGCCTAATTATGCGGCATCTTGGCCAAGATTGGCCAGCTCCTGAGCGCAGAGAGTACTATGCAATTTGTCCACTCGGCCTACCCATGTGGGTTTTGGGGCAGCTTATGGCCCAAAGCAGGCAGATCTAAGCAGTGGCTGCAGTTCATGTTGCAGTTGCCACAGTTGCAGTTGCAGTTGCCGCATTTGCCACAGTTGCTGCGGCTGCTGTGTGTGGCAGGCGGGGGCGCCAGGGTGACCATTACGAAATTTTTGCAACTAAATTTGTGTCTACTTTCATTTTTAGTTTGTTTTTTTGTTTTTTTCTGCTGCTTTTGTTGTTGCAGACCATGGCTTATAATTGTTACCTAGGCTCGGCTGCATTTAATGGCCGCATCTCGAAATTAGCCGCAACTTTCAACTGCGGCAAAAGAAAGTTGATTTTGTTGGGCCAACAAAATGGCCAAAACTTGCAGTTGTTGCCGTTGTTGTTGTTGTTGTTGCTGGGCACTTCAAGGTCATTTGGCAGGGCAAACAATAGTAAATTGTAAATTGCCATCGCCGTCGCCGTCGTCGCAGTCGTCCCACTCGTCTGGCATTCCATGAATTTTTGTTCACTTTGTGTTCAACTTAATTAAAAGGCAAACAAAACGCAACCTCACACACAAGAACTGATAAAAAATGCTTTTATCAGCAGAACGAACAAAAAATAAAAATACAAAAAAAAAACAGAAATATACAAAATAAAGCAACTAAGAGTGCTCTAGTCGGGAGTGCACGACCAACCGATACCCTGTACCCAGCAGCAAGTTGTTATTACAAGTTCTCTGACTTTCTAATGCAAAGCACACACAGAAATAATCTGCCCACGCTGCGGCTGTGCTTCTTCTTCTCTTCACCCCACACTATAAGAATTTAATTCTTGAGTAACTTCGGTGTTTGTTGTCCGATCTTTACGAAAATTTCGGAGCATGATGATGTCATCTAAATATGTATAAATAGCAAAGCATTAGGCAGGATCTCCCAAAAAGCGTCGTTTTGATATTACTAGAGGACACAGAAGAAGGTTAAAAAGTAAAATATTCTGGATCTGTATATACTACGGCCTATGTTTGCCAAGTTTGTTGTCGCTCCTATAAGCGCCTACATATGCTCAAAAATAAGAAAAAACGATATCGATATTTATCGATTTCAAGGAAACGAGAACTTGGTCTGCCTTTGCAATAGGTAGAGCTGCACTCAATTTCTCACGTCTCCACCTCTTGAATTCCCTAGATCAACTCGGCTGTTGATGCTGAGCAGGGATATAAATGTACTTTGTGGTGTCAAAGATGTCTACTTCCACATTTTTCATACATATACGTAAAACCATATACCCTTTTACACATTTCCAAGGGTATAAAAACACTGTCGAGACATTAACCACGATAATTATACAAAACATGTGGCTCGTTTTTGTGTTGTATTGTGTGCCTGGCCACAAGACTTGGGAGCGAAACCCCAAAGTTACCTACGAATACAATTGATAAGCATTTAGAATAGATACACGAATATACGACTAGCTAGTGATTGCTGGCAAGAGGAAGCATCACACACACACACACACAGACACACACACACACACGTGCGTGCAAGTGTACATATTTAATTTCCAAGCAAAAGTTTTAGATACATTTCAATGAAATTAACAACTGCTCGCAGTTTCTGGAAGTTCAGATAAAATTCAAGAATTTTATAGGTCTCGAGAGAAATACGCAGCGTTTGCCATTTAATTTAATTTCTTATCAGATTAAACGCAGATAAAAACCAAAATTGATAACCTTTTAAATAATAATGTGAACGATCTTTATGTTTATATTCCTGTCAGGCCCAAAGGCTTATCAATTTCCAGCGTTTATCTCTGTCTCGACGCGCTTGCGAAAGCCTGGCAAGCAAATATAAATGTTGGCAATCATTTGCCTAATTATAATTCATTTTATGATCACGAATATTTGCTTTCGTTTTATGGCGTGCCATAAAAAACAATATACAAACCTTTAAGAATGAATAGACGCTGGGCTGAGAATGCCCAGTTCAAGTGTGGATGCGTTTGCTTAACTACTGCATAAGCCAAAATTCTTTATTAACCCCTTGAGATTGACATAAGATGCTGATTGATACTCGATTGATATAGAGAACTGTTGATTGACCGATTGATGATCAATGTTCTGCCCCTAAATATGTGTTTTAATCCAACGCCAAGCTCGGAAAATTCATGTTCAACTTTTGCTTTGCATCTGCTTCAATTTGCCTTGAACTCATTTTTGATAAGAAAGAGATAAGACAGGGAATTTATTGAACCCTTCCCTGAGTGAACAACGACTATCTGTGTGAAAGTATTCAAAATTGAACATTATAAAACAAAGCATACGCGTTCCATAGATTTTAAAAGCATTTTTAAATATCGCCTTTCTATGCGATTCTCATGAATTTAACTTACGTTAATCAACTCTTTTGCATTCTTTCTCCCACTCTAGTGAGATGCACTTTTAAAGGACTTTCTCCCTACATCTTATTGATGTCAATAATATATGATGTGTAAAGTTTGGGGTAAGTACAGATTGACATATAAATATATTTGTTTATAACCAAGAACATATGTCAGAGCAGTTCAGTCAAGGCTCTCTTTGAATAATGACCAATTTGTATGGAAAATGAAATCGTTTTTGAGCTGTTTTATCAAAGTTATTTGAAAAACATTTTTCAGCTCTAAAAGTGTTTCAGTTCTCTTGAGAGCTGACCACAACTTTAATGGGTTAACAGTTCAGCCAACTGGGCCTTATCGATGCTGCCCACATTCAGATGCATCCATCGCATCGCTTTTGTCACCAGCACATCGAATGCCTCTGGGCAGGGCAGGGCAGGGCTGGGCACCGGCTCCGACTCTGACTCGGACTCGGACTCCGTCTCTGGTTCTGGTTCTGACTGGCTGTCGGTGTGTCTGTGTGTGTGTGTCTCCGTGCCTCATCATCAATGTCCAATCGACGTGTGTGGCCTGGGGAACGGGTACGGGAACGACTGGTGGCACTTGGGCCGAGAGCGGAGCATGCGGTAGGCCTGACAACGACAACGACAGCGACAACGACGACGACGACGACGACGGCGCCGTCGATGGAATGTTGTTAGTTATAAAATGGCCACAAAATCATAACGCGGGCGTGGGCTCAACTGACTGCCACTGAGCACTTTCCTGGACCCAAAACCGAACCTGATATTGACGATGACGATGACGAGCCACGAGTTACGAGCCGTGAGCTCTGAGCTGTGAGTGCCTCATGCCGCCGTCTCTCGTCTGGGTCAGCCGGCGGCTGGTGCCCGATGTTGCCATCAAAAGGTTGGTCCAGAGTGTGAATTAAAATGTTTTTTTTTGTTGTGTTTTTGTTCTCTTTGCCCGTTTTTACATGTGTTCTGTGTGTTCCGATTGGGGATCTACAACTGGCAACTGGCAACTGGCAATAACTGAGCGAGCGGGCTAAAAATCGAAATCAAAACTCGTCGCAGTTGTTTTATGAGTTTTAGAAATTCTTTTTCACAGCACACACACACGCACACACACACACACATATGCATACGTACGCATATTTCTTTTTTCCACATGCACTCGCCGGAGTCGCCCACAAAAAAAAACTTGTTTTGTTTTTCTCGTTTCTGTTTGCCATTCTTGTTATTATTATTAGTTTTCTATTTCAATGGCGGCGACGTCGGCGGCGTTGGTGGCTAGCTTTGAATAATGATGATAAGCAGAGCTCCAGCCATCCGTCCAGCCATCCGTCCAACCATCCGTCCGACCATCTATCCAACCAGTCAACCATCCAGTCTGAGCCAAGCCAAACGAGCACAAATATATCTGAATACAAACGTATTTGTATAAACTCGCATTCATCCATCTGGTTGTCGTTCTCATTTTGATTATTGACTTATTGTGGCATTTATTTTGTGTGTATATCTTTTATTTCTTCGAGTTGTTGTTTTTTTTGTTTTTTGCTCGAAATCGTCGCCAGGTACACGAGAAATCGTCACGGTCAGCAAAAGATACTCTGGGTGCCCGAAGTATCTCAGCCTATGCAGATACATTTGAAGCGCACGCTTGTCCGTTTTGATGTTGTTGTCATCAATTTAACAGCAACAACAGCAGCAACAACAGCAACAACAATGTGAGAAACAAGAACAAAACCAGACATTCTTCGAGACTCGGTCGTTGTTCGTTCTCATAATTTGTTTGCCTCGTTTGGCCCCGTCGCTGCCCCTTTTCCCAGCTCCGAAGCCCGTTCCCAATTCTTTTCTTTCTCGCGCCATCGTCGCCGACTGTGAGAAAGATTTTATTTCGTTCAAGTGGTTTTTGATTTAACACCAAACAACAGCAGCAGCAGCAACAACAACAACAACAACAACAGCAGTGGAAAATATTTTAATGATGCGTCGTCAATGCAATTCGGGAAAATGAAAAAGAGATTTCCAACTTGTTTGGTGGCCACGCTCTTTGCTTTCCACTTTATCTCGTGCTGTGGCTGGCTTTTCATAGCCATCGATTGATTAGCTCTGGCGAAAGCCGATAGTCGGTCCGTTGCAGCAACGACAACTGCCGCAGAACCCACCCCAAGGCGTGTGCATCTACAGAAAAGGGGTAGCTTGCCAAGTTAGCGAGCGAGAGAGAGAGAGAGAGGGAGGGGGGGGAGAGTGGGCAGACGATCGACAGACCGAGAAACCACTCGACAAGCTGCCAATGCGCTTCGATGCGGTAACATCTGTCACACGGCTGCTTCCTGGACACTGGCACCACACAGCAACCACATTTCAAGCAGCACCACTGAAACTGGCACCACAAAGCAGCTTATTGGTATTTAAAGGAACTTGCGTCGGGCATAAACGCATTGCGATACAGTTTGCAACAGTTCAATTAGCTATCGATAAACACAGTGGGTCAAACATATTTGGCTTTCAATAAGCTAGGCCTGGAAACAGGGCTTACCACACCCGGAAATTTCTTACATACAATGAATCCAACGTTAAAGGGGATGAGTTGAACTAAGAACAGACGAACTTAAGCCTGGATTGAAGCAAGGAACCTTTTTCCATTTTGGGTGGAATGTTGGGAGTTATTCAAAATTTGAAATGGTCGTCATATGTATATAGCTCTTAGAATCCTCGAGCTATGCTTAAGAAACCATCTAAAAAATCGATATTTATCGATATTCGTAAAATGAGAGGAGATATCAAACAAAAAAGATAAACAAGTTCTGCGAATGTTAAACGAGAATATATATTTCAAATGTCAACAGTCGAGTTCTTATAGTTTCCGAGATTGACGCGTTCACTTTGACGGACTGATCATCGTCCTGATCAAGAAGATACATATATCATTTATGGGAATGGGCTGCTTGTTATAAAGATTAACTTAAAACTAATAACTTATATTTATTTCAATTAATCTAAATACAACTGACAGCAACTATGTTGAATATGTTTAAAGAGCATTTAAACTTCGTTGTGCGAAATTCGGTATAATTTTTGCCTGCGTTTTTTCTTCGGTATTCCTTTCAAGTCCTGCGTATTATTTCATTATGAAAATATGCAATATATATTTGCCGCTTTTTGCTTTGAACTGTGCGTGTTGCCGCCACAAACGGAACCGCAGCTGATGTCAAGGACTATGTGGCCGGCCGGCCGGCATGGACTTATTAATGTGACACTAATCATGTGACCTCGAGTGTTTGGCCGCCTGTTATGACCGCTTGTGCGCGGCAATCGGAAAAGTTTTCCCTGCCACTCATGGAACAACGGCGAATGAGTCGAACCATTCATAAAAATGCCATTCTATTGCTTTCTTCTCTTTGTGGCACCTTTCTTTCAGTCTGCTGTGTCTGTTGATTGGAAGCGCTTAGGAAAATCAACACACACAAAAAATGAAAGCTGGCAACTGGGAACTAAATGGGCGACTGGCAACTGGGAAAGGCTGTGCCCAGACTCAGATAAAGCGGGCCTAGGAAGCGGTTCTTGCGTAGGTAGCTTCGCCAACTGGGCCAAACAAAAGAAAACACACAAGTTACTCAAAAGAAAGAGAGTGAGCGAGAGACAGAGAGAGAGAGAGGGAGAGGGAGAGGGAGAGAGGGGGAGAGGGAGAGGGAGAGAGAGTGATATACATTTTCACCTTTCGCAGTTGCAGTTGCTGCCCGCCTTTGAGAGCATGACGCGTGTCAGGGGCAACCAATTAGCAGAGAGGCTCTGCGGTATCTGTGCAGTCTTTTGTGTTCAGGACATAGGGGTTGCTGTTAGCTGCACAACAAGCCTATACACTCAACAAAATCTTCAATTCTAAATATATATATAACCTGGTGAGATGCATTTTATGGATTGTTCTGGATGTTTTTTCTTAGCAAGGCTCCAAACCAATTTTGAACCGAACCACATTGGGCCTGGAATTGAACTTGTTTCTTCTTCACCATGATTAGTTGGATAAAGAATAGCAGAACCCAAGCCCAAATCGAGCAATATAAATAATTAGAAGTTTGTTTAGTTATTAATCAAGTTTTACTGTTGATAAATTGAAAGAACTTTCACGAACCAAGTTCTGAACCTAGAAGCACAAATGGAGAGAGTCAGGTTTATGAACTAGCACCTTTATGTGAGTGAACTGAACCAGTGTAAATGTTTGTCGGGCTTGCAGGCTGATTCTTAGAAAAGCTGGTATTTGAACTATGAATTAAATCGTTATATTGAAGAATTGAGGGAAGTTTTACGAACCAAGCTCTGAACCTGGAATCACAAATGCAGAAAGCCAGGATCAGGAACCTTAATACAGTTTCTGACAGTTTTGCTTGCAAACTCCATGCAGCAGTTGTTGCAGTGTATTTAGATCCCTGAGCGTTGCCGTGTGGCTGACGCTGATGAGCCGCAAACTGCGCAGGAAGCTTCATCCAATTGACAAGCGGCATTTAAGGGATAATTTTCGGGGCATGTGTAGCGGTTGCCCCCCCAAAAGAAAATAACAAAGTGGAAAGGACAAACTGCGCAGGCGCAGAGGCAGACGACACAGCGTGTAGGCAGCCAAAGTACGTAGGACGCAGGACGCTGAAAAGGACGCGCTCCAACAGTTTTTTGTGCCAGTCACTGTAACATCTGCTTGTGCCTCATCATCATCATCATGAACATCATCATCATCATGATGATGAATATGGCCGCTGTCCTGTGCTGTCCCGACAGGACATGTGCGTTTTTAGTTATTGAAATTTTTACTTGTTTTGTCCTGCGCGCTCTGTGCTCTGTGCATTGAGTATTTAATTGCAGATAATATCGACAACAAACAGCAGGCAATTCAGTTCGACCGAAAGCCAGTCCCGACTTAAGGATCAACCGACAAAAAGGTACAAAAACACGGCTGAATCAACAGCTGAAGTTGCCGGAAATGCATCTGTGGCCAGGTCCTGCTGCTCAGGACATTTGTCCTGCCTTCTGGGTTCTGTGGAGGCGCGCACGTGTCAATAATTGTTCGGTTGTGGAGCTCGAGAATCAGCTGTCGTTTCGGACCCCTTTCTGAGACATAAGTGCCATCC